AAGTACGCCAAGTATCTGGAGAGCTACAGCGTCGAAGGCGTCCGACACATCTTCAAGAAGGCCTGCAGCATCCACCTGCCCAAGAAACCTACCGTTCACCTGCTCTGGGCCGCGTTTGAAGAGCAGCAAGGTAAAATATCAGACTAGGGATGTCAACGATTAATTGATGATCGATTAATTGTCGATAAGAGATGCAATCATTTAAAGCTATCAATGCTCGATTAAGCTATTTAATTTTGGGCTGCGTGCGGCTCATGCGCAAAACACGTGCGAGCGGCTGTGAGTGATGGTATATAAATGCGTCATTCATTCATAATGTACAAATTAAGCTTTTAATGTGATTTAAACTTTAAAAGTACATTAAAATAGAAACAACACAAAGTTCTTCAACATGGAAAGCAATAGAAATGTAGTAGTCATTTCCCCAGATAATTCTTTCATATCGTGCTCTGCGCTTTGCGTGGCTGCAGGACAGATATATAGGCTATTTATTCCTACAACGTTAATTAGTTCCTACGACTAATTAAAGGGGTTATCTGATGCTGCTAAAAAGAACATATTTGGTGTAATGAAGTGTTTATGCGGTTTAAGGTTCAAAAAACACATTATTTTCCACATACTGTACATTGTTTTTACGCGTTGCGTTGCGCCGCGTGAACATAAAACCATGTCTGCGTTTGTGATCGGAGAAATGACAAACAAGCGCTACTCTACACCGCATTTGAATCGTCAGTGGCAAACTCTTTAAATGTAAAAAACGTACTTACAGTCTGAGTCAGAACAGCCGGCACTGTAGTCTACTCTCCCAGGATCAGGAGACAGTCCTCCATAAAATGTGCTGCACACATCTGAATATTTGGGTTGAAGTGTTCTGGAACAGTGTTATAAATACAACTTAACCACTGATTTCTAGTCGTGTCCTCTTTTGGAAGACCAAACAAAGTCGTTTTGCTTTCACAACGAAACAAAGCGTCTTCAGGACATGGCGGCAGCAACAATACTACAGCGAGAATAAAAGTTACGCCGCCTTTGCGTGAACATTTGGGTGGCGTTAGGCAAATATTCCCACATAGTGATGTAGATATGTGGGGTGTGTTAACGAGGCATTTTAGGGGGGCGTGGCAGAGTCTTAACTTTTATAAAGAATATCTCTTTGGATTTGAGACTTTAGTCTTTGCAACTTTACAGATCTTTCTGCACCAAGAGCTTGTAACACTCCAAAGAGAAAGGAACAATTGAAATCGCATCATATGACCCCTTTACTTCACTAATTTAATTTACAGCCACTGTCCATGTTTCATTAATTTTGTTCCTTAACCCATGATTTAACTAAAATGAGGGAACAAATTAATAAATCGAACGAATTCTTAATTCATGGCTATGAAATCTTTCATTTCCCTTCCCGCATGTCCCGCAGTAAGAGATGCGAAAACAGTGATAAAAAGTGAAAGACAATAAAATAAACCTGCGAAATTAGAGGCTGAGATGGTGAGGTTTTAGGAAAAGAAACAATGCCTAAATATTATTGAATTTGTGGAAATTCGTGACCAAGAACAAAGCCGGGTGAATGTAGGCTATAGGCTCGAACGGCATCCAAAAGCATGGGCGCGATGTAACATTTTCCAGCTAACCAATTATTCATCTAATAAACAAAGCATTTATGTACCACACTTGTCATTAATCTGAGTTTATAATTTGTAAATTAATAATTGCTGGATTCAAAACAGCAACTAAAAGGCGCTGTGACTGACACTGACAATACGTTTTCCCGGAGCATTCAATGATAGTGGTTGACCGATATATCGGCCGATATTTGGCATTTTTCAAATATCGGCATTGGCCGATAAGTTTTTCTGTTTGGCTGATGCGTTCGTGGCGGGACTTTTATTTTGCTCATATTCTCCCTCTTGTTCGCTGTCTTCGTTAACAGTTCTGTCCACGGACAGAAGTCTATCTAATAATCAGATAAAACTGTTAAACAAAGGAATTAAAATACAAAAAAGTATTATAACGATTGCTTTTGTTGTTAGTAACAGAAAGGCAAACATTATAATACTTTCTCGTTTGCCGTCAGCATTCAGCAAATACGCATTTATATCATTTAAACAAATCTTTGAATGAACATTTAATTTCAAAAACCTTGCAAACTTAGTCAAATCCAGCTGTGAGATCTTGTGAAGTGTTCTCTGCGTGACGGTCAGTCCGTGTGAATTGAATGCTGACAGGAAGAGAGTTCAGCTTCACTGAGACGCGCGATCGACAAACTTTAAACTGGTGATTTCTAATTCTGCTGCGCTTCATGCATTTGCCCACTGTCATATTCATGTCATTTCCACTGTGTGCGGTATGTAAAATGAGTGTTACCTTGGCTTTATTTGGAAAAATGTGATTCCCAATGCACACAAACTTCCCAGAATACTGAGTGCCCCGTTGGTTACAGTGTTTACTACTTTTTTTAATTATATTTTTATCAAATATTTGTTTATTTGTGAAAAATACTTTGTCATTTAAAGTATAAGCATGTTTATTTTACACCCTTATTTTTTTTTTATACATTTTAAAATTATTTCAAATTTCTTAAATAGTAAATAAAATACATATTATATCGGCCACCCTGCTTTCCAAGATATCGGCATCGGCTGTCAAAAAACCAATATCAGTTGACCACTATTCAAAGATGTCACTAAACGATGAAGCCACAATAAGAGCAACGTTCACAAGTTTCTGTAGGACCTAACTAGCTTAGGCACAGGTTTTCAAGCCCTGGCAAGGCTCTGCGCTTATTTTTCTTTTTAGGAGCATTTATGCTCCTAACGTAAAAAATTTAGGAGCACCTTCTAATCAATAATCCAAAATTTGATTAAAAAATTGCCTTCCCATTACAAGGTGATATTTGACTCCTTTAAAGTGATTTACAGTGGAGTTTTGTTTTTACCTTTTGTAATGGCATTTTTCTAACTTTATTAAAAGTGTCATCTTTTGTCAAATAAAAAAAAAAAGCATATTTTATAAGTTTAAAAAAAAAAATCTAATTAAAACCATAGAATAAGATCAAGTAGAATAAGAAGAATAAGTTACAAATCAAATGAAATCAGTATTAAAATTTAATTTGTACAGAGGTGGAAGAACACAAAATTGGCATGTAGGTGTATTTTCAGACATTTAATGAGGATCAGAGGTGGCATCGCACTGGTGCTCATAAATATGTTTTCATAGTCGCACGCAGTAGTTTTCAGTCGCAAATGCGACTGAAATGGTCGCACTGTAGAGCCCTGCCTGGGACAAAATGCAATGCTTTAAGGAAAATGTATAGCCTATGTAAATAATAGGCCTAAAATACAAATAATTTTTCATTAAAAAAAAATTGTGAAATATGTCTGACTTATAAATAATTAAACTATCAGATTTAAAACAGAAGTGTGGCGAGGTGCTCCATAAACAAGTTCACGGAAAGGATGACAACGTGCATTCTGTTTGTTTGCTTTATTTTACAAAAGCACAAATCTTCTGTTTTTATTGCGAGTGTGCAGAAATAAAAGTATACACTTTTGCGGATTATATCTTGCTCCAAAAATTGAGCTTTTTTTTTTTTTACTGGCGCCTCGCGCGCACACCCAACATATTCTAGCAATTCAAACTTACATCGCAGTCTGTTCATTATCAAAATAAAATAGTCAACCAAACATATAAAAGGTTACACTGGTCAGTTGCTGTTAAGGACATTCTTGCTCATGTGACTCATACTCTGTCTGTATGCGAATTCGTGTAAAGTACAAGCCTAGTTTACATTACAAATAATAGTTTAACATTCAAATACATTACGAATATGGAAACATTTGGATTTGTGCCGAATGAGACGTGAGTAATAACCTCCAAATACATCTAAACCCGCGCTCGCTCCGTCTCGTATGCACGCATGCACTGTCACGATCTAATGCACTGTAAATGCCGGATTACTAAAAACAAATAGGCCTACCGGAACACAATTAAAAATCTGACATTTTGCGGAACAGGATCCAGCAGGATCAAATTAAGTACTTGTCATAATACTCACATGATAATGATGTGAGCAACCGTGTGTTTTGCTGCAGCAGCGCCGATGGAAGCGGTTCACTGACTGCGCAGCACAGCCACACGCTCCACAGTTACGTTTGGGATCATTTTATTTTTAATGTCAGTTGAAAGCATTTGCAATTGTGTTTTAAAATACAACAACGAAACGAGCACCACGAAACCATTTAAAGAGGCGCGTTCAGCGGTCTCCGTGTCGGGATAGGAAACAGTCAACAAAGTAAAATCATCTCAAACGTACGGCACGCGCTCTTCATTTTATCAAATGATCATAATCACATCTATTCATTTTATAATTCTGCTACTAGCATTTTATTCAGACTAAAACCCCTTTAATTCGTGTGAATTTTTTTTTTTGTTGCACATCCTGTCATGCGGACTGCGTGCTGCTGCAATAGACGCATTTTGCAGCATTAAGTTTAACAATTAATCGATTGTTAATTTAAACGACGATCGATCATGGAAATGATAAAAAATTGACATCCCTATATCAGACATGCTGTCCAATGGATAGATGCATGGTTTTTCCTTCTGCAGCATCAGCGAGCGTCTGAACCTTCTGTAATACTTGCATAAGAGTCCCTCAGTGTGAAAAGATGCATCTCAAAATCATGCAGTCATTGTTGGAATGGGTTCAAATACACAAACATGCTGGAAAAGCAAAGAATTAGTGGGAGCTGAGGGGTTTTTCTGAAGAACAGCAGGAAGTTTAACTGTTCAGGACCAATGCAGGACTCATGAACAACTATCACTAAACTAAAAACCACAGCTGTTGATCATTCAGCTAACAACACAGTATTAAGAATCAAGTCATTTTTATAAATTCAACTCTTATTTTCTCTTGTGGACTGTATGTGAACATCTTTTATGTGAAATATCTTATTCAGGTCAGTACTACATGAACAATAACATGCATTTTGTATGATCTCTCTTATTTTGGCTGACATAATTAACATTTAGCAGATTCTGAAAACTTTTGACCTCCACTGTATAAAGAGCTGGATGATATATGTGTCCCTGCAGCACAAAAGCAGTGTTGAGTCGCTGGGGGATATTTGTAGCAATAGCCAACAATACATTGTATGGGTCACAATTATACATTTCTCTTTTATGCCAAAAATCATTAGGATATTAAGTAAAGATCATGTTCCATGAAGATATTTAGTAAATGTCCTACCGTAAATATATCAAAACTTAATGTTTGATTAGTAATATGCATTGCTAAGAACTTCATTTGAACAACTTTAAAGATGATTTTCTCAATATTTAGATTTTTTCGCACCCTCAGATTTTCAAATATTGTCCTATCCTAACAAACCACACATCAATGGAAAGCTGTTGAGTATATTTACTGTAAAGCACATCTGTTTCATGTCCGTGTACTGCATGTGTATAATTGTGTTTTTGACATTGGGATGTGTCTACAGGCGACATCGAGGAGGCGCGGCGGATCTTGAAGGCGATGGAGGAAGCTGTTCCCGGACTGGCGATGGTGAGGATGAGGAGGGTGAGTCTGGAGCGTCGTCACGGAAACATGGATGAAGCGGAGGCCCTGCTGAGAGACGGCATCACCAACGGGAAGAACAGCAGCGAGGCGTCCTTCTACGCCGTCAAACTGGCCCGACAGCTGGTCAAAGTGCAGAAGAGCATCGGGAAGGCCAAGAAAGTGCTGCTGGAGGCCGTCGAAAAAGATGAGGTGCAGGTTTACTTTGACTAAATGATTTAATCTTAATAACTGTAATAAAATTATTTTTTATATTTAATTATATATTTTGTTTAAAAATAATTACATATATATATATATATATAAAATGATTTTATATA